AACGGGCATCTACCTTCTCCAGTAAGATAGACAGGGCATGGAATCCGGGTAATATCAAGGACTGGGGCTCGACTGAAGATTTAAAGAAACCAGGTAGGAGAGAAGGACCCTGAGGGAGAGAAACATGGTAGAGAACAGGGGGCCCCCAAGGGGACACGTCCTTGCTTCTGCAGGTGGGAGAGTCGCAGGCGAAGAGCATCGAGAGGGGGGAGGAACAGGAGGAAAGTTACAGCAAAGCACTTGTCACAGACGGCCTGCTGTGTGCGGGCCTCTGAGGAGAGAGACTCCATCCAGGGAAGGCCCACGGCCTGGCTTCGAATCCTGACCCTGGCCACTTGGAGCCAAACCTGTCCTCACCTCAGTTTTCCCCTCTGCCCGGCCTCACACCCTCACCCTCCCAGGAGGAGGCTGATGGAGAATTACTCACTTAGCAGGTGGGACTCACTTATTCTCCAGAGAGGCTTGCTGGCCTGGATGCGTCACACAGGCTGTCCCACACTCTCTTATGGCGTCTACTTACAGGGCAGTCTCGGGGGACTGGGACAGTCCATGGCCTAGTAACCCCCTTCCCCCTCACCCCCCTTCATGCAGGAAATAAGCCTGGAGAGACTCCAGCGCTCAGCCAGCGAGTACCTGATCTCATCGGAGGGCCTTGCTGTCCCTCCCTGGCGTGGCCTAGTCTAGGGGAACTAGCGGGTGCAAGGTCATCTGAAGGGTGGGGTGATGGGAGCCACTCGAAGGCCCTTGTAAGGCTAAGCATTCATCTCACTTTGATGAGAGGAGTAAATGGTTAAACACATCCAGAGCCTAGAACTGTGCCTGAGACGTGGTCGACCTAATACATGTCAGCGATTATTTGACACTGGCATTCAGTTGACATTGAAGTCACTGGCTGATGGCTGCCAAGGTGCCAGCCCTAGGAAAGCTCAGGTCGGGAGCTGGAATCCATTTCTTTTGGTCTCCAAAGTCCATTTGTCCAGGCACAGATGGGAGATAACAGGCCCCCGCCGAGTGCCACCGCTCAGAGCGACCGTGTGAAAGAATGACGTGGGGCCGTGTCGCTGTCGTTAGAGTCTTGCAGAGTGTCAGGACCTCAAAGGACCTTAATGCTCCTGCTTTGCCGGTGAGAAAACCAGGCTCACAGAGGGGCGGTGACTTCCCCAGCCCCCGTGGCATGTCAGTGGCGGAGTCATGAAAAAATCCTAGGCTCAGGGTCCATGGTCACAAACTGTGTGACTATCTGTAATTTACTCCTTTGTTAATTTTCTGCCTGTGAATCAAGAGATGGGGAAGCCGGAAGCTCGCCCCAAACCATTACCTTTGGAATCTGCAGTCTCGATTAAAGTTTAATGTTCAGTAAGAACCAGCAGTAAAAAACACAGTGCAGAATAACCCATAGAAGAAACTTTGAACGTGTTAGGCCTCATTACCCCCATTTTGCAGTAGTGGAAACTGAGACACACAGAGACCGAATGGCCTGCCCAGGAGGCTACACTAATTACAGGCTGATTTGGGATTCCTGAGTTCTTTTTACTTTGGGGGATGTGGGGTGGGCATTTTCATTCTAACATTTTAATGCTGAAAGTCACCTCGGAACTAAAGGACGTTATACTGATAATACTCAGAACATATTTTGAGGCTATTGATAACTGCAGACCAAAGAAAAAATAGCTTTTTAAAACTAATACATATTTCTAACTTGCTCTGTTCTCTGTGCTCTCTGTCAAAGTCCCACGATGGCATTAAAAAAATGCTAACGGTCTGCGGCCATGCTACCCTGAACAAGCCCAATCCTATCTGATTTCAGAAGCTAAGCAGAATCGGGCCTGGCTAGTACTTGGATGGGAGACCACCTAGGCAGACCAGGTGCCGTAGGCATAAAAAATTAAAAAAAAAAAATAATAAAGGATTGTAAGGTGACAAGGTCCTTGCAATCTGTGAGGTCAACCAAGGTTGTCTCACCTAAAAAAATAAATAAATTAAAAATAAACAAACAAACAAATAAGTAAGTAAGTAAATAAATGCTAACAGCTCTGATCTTTCATTGCCTGCGGCTCACTCGTTCCCAGATAAGCAAAGTGACGAACAGTGGTAGCAGGTGGGCACCTGGTTGTGGAAGGCAGCTTTCACTTCCGCGAGCAAATGTTCCTGGTAATTATCTGTCAACTCCACCTGGGGTCAGGCTTTCCCTGCGGGACTGTCTTGCTGTTTCCCTCTCCGGGGTGACTCTGCCCCACTCCACATCCCCCAAATTTCCTGGCAGATGCTCACCATGCCACCTGGCACGTGCTCATCACCCCTTTTCCGGCACTTTCTAACGCGGTTCCCTCCTGAGGATTGCCGTTTGTGACCTTAGCCATCACTGAAGGCTTGCTTCTTCCGTGAAGACTTCTTTGAGTGCGTTTTCCTAGATTCTAGTTGCACCAGCCAGGATGGGCTGGGTTTTGCTTTTGTCACAAAGAGCTCCGAATCTCAATGGCTAGCACCCTGGGCTGCTGCTGTGTCCTCACTGGGGAGGGAGCTGCCTTGGTGAGAGTGCCTTTCTCTGATTTCTCCACTCAGGAGCCCTAATTCCATTAGCCCTGCAGGACGTGGCCCCATGCCATTTCAAAGCAGCCCCGCAGGGCCTGGCTGCTAGTGCGCCCCGTGCTTTGCCCTCGGCACCAGTGCTGAGCATCAGCAAAGGAGCAACAGCAGAACAGCCCCAGCCTCTAGAGGAGCTCGCGGGTTGTCCGGGTTGTTCGCAGATGTTTGTGGGTCATTGCCGATGGCTCTGGAAGGACTCTGAAGGCGCAGAGTCACCACGCCACGAGGCCTGGCTTGTTACCCATGATCCATCACCATGGACCAGCGTTCGTCAAGGGTGGGAGCTGGGTCTCCTTCTCTATCCCCAGGATATTGCAGATGTTCTCATTTTCTTGCTGAACAAGTGCCCACCTCATGGGCTTGTGTGGGGGACCAAGGGAGCCACGGGATGGAAAGTAACACATAATCTGCCTTTTTCCCATTTCCGAATCCGCGCCCAAGCGTGAGAGCCCAGAAGCACCTTGACCTTCGTCTTCATCTTACAGATGAGGCTCAGATGCCCCCATCAGTCAGGGCACAGCTTGTAGTTAAAATCAAAACTTTGTTATTTGTGCTTGAAATTGAATGGGTACGTTTTCCCCTGCAAACTGCCAGAGAGGTGTAAATGTCACCGCCACGTTGTCCCTGCCTCAGCTGGGAGCCTGCTTGCGTGCCCTCGGACAGCCCGGGCCTAAGTGGGGGACCTGCCTCCTAGGCCTGGCCAGCACGCCTCCAACCTGCTGAAACTCCACTTGCCCGTCTTTAAATTGGGGATAACAATTCCTAGTCCCTGTCCTTCAAGGACCGGTTTTGAGGATCAGCAGTTACATTTTAAACACTCTAAAGTGCAGGTAAAGCTGAGGCTCAGAGAGATTTGGCACCTTCATTGAAGTCACACAGCTGGAAAGTGGCAGAATCTGAACTTGATCCAGATCCTTAGACCCTCAGGTCTGGCATCATTGTAGGTGCTTGACAATTTTCATGTTATTACTGGAATTTGTAGAAGTTGGAAGTCTCGAGGCAGAGAAAACTCAAAAGGATATGAAGCTTATTTAGGAACCAGTTGAATCTTTACTCATTATATTAAATGATGTGAAATTGTGCTTATGTGGCCATTTTGACTTAAAAGGTGTAAATTCCTATAACTCAACCTGGTTCGTCAGGTATACATCCATCCCCGGTAAGAGGCTTAGACGGTGATTACCAGGTTTGTGTGGGATGGGGCCACCCTTCCCCAGGATAAGCCCATTCCCATGAGAGTCCGGGGAGCTGGCTCCTTCAGGCTGGGGCCCAGCCAGGCTTGCTGACTGTCACAGCACTTCGCCGGGGCCTCAGAGGGTGAGAAGGAGCCCCATGGCCCCAAGTGAACAGGGTTGCTCCGGAACAGCCTCCATCTCTGGCCCGGGAGCTGTGGTTTCCCTCCAGAGACCACAGGGAGGGCCGTGGGGCAGGAACAGGCACATTGAAATGTGTCCCCGTCAGAGCTCAGCCGAGGGAGGGCAGGCAGGGCCAGGGGGTGTCGCTGGTCTGCTGTACTTCCTCTCCCAGGACCAGGGAATCATCGTAATGACTTTCCAGAGACATCCGGGACATCTTGGCCACATAATGAGGATGGAGGACATAATGAGTAGGGCTGACTTGGGGACTGACCCTGAGCAGGTGATACAGACCAGTACAAGAGACCATTGTCTTCACCTGGGAGAAGGGAGCTGCTTCTAGGGGAATGTAATTGAAGGACCTGGGCCGGAAGTGGAATGACAAGGACATATGTGTTCCCAGTCCAGCCCCATTGGGAAAGGGTCCCGGAAGGATCAGCCAGAGGTGTTTGCAGGAAAGACCTGTGAGCAGTCGGGGTTCAGGTGACGATGTGGGATGAGAAGGGGACCCAGTCTTCTCCCTCTGCTGCCGGAGACATGGCAGCTCAGTGTCCCTGCGTGAGCTGAAGGTGCTGGGGACAACAGGGAGGCAGCCTCGTGCTTGGCGCTATTAGCCCTGCAGGGTGAGGGGCTCTCATGGGGGCACAGGGGTGGGGGGCTTAGCAGGAGGACCTGGTGGATGCTTGGTGGAGGCAGGGGCCATGGGCTGGAATCTGAGCTGTACAATTGCCCTTAGCAGTTCCCAGACAAGCCTGGAGACCTGGAGCTTTGCCATCGTGATTGGGGAAGGGGCAATGAGCCATGGCTTTCAGCCAGCATTTCACCCTGGCTGAGTACCGTGCCCGGACAGTATAAATGTCTAATAAATATTAATATAATGGATACATGAAAGATCGCTGTGGCCTGCATTCCACATACACCCTGGGGACGTAAAGGGAGAATCAAAGATGAGAGTCAGGGATTTGCATGTCACACTCAAGTTTGGGCCAAGCTGGTCATTCTTTATTGTCATCTAGGGAGGGGCGGGGGGTTGGGGTGGGGACTGGACCACAGAGGCAGTTATTTTTGAGTGGGATTCATCACCTTTCCCATGAAGAGGGGACTCTTGGTGTTTTTATCATAGATGATGAAGAGGAAGGGCCTGTTAAACTGGACAGTTGGGGGAATCGACATCGGAATGGCTTCCAGGATCGTGGCTGCAGAAGCTTCTGTCCCTTTCTCGTCGATGGTCAGCACTGCCTTGTGCACGGCCTGGAGGGGAGAGAGCACAGAGGCCTGTTCTGAGCGGATACAGGTGGCCTGACCCCACCCAGGCACGGGAGCAAGGCCTGAGGAGGAGAGACTTGCCAGGGGTGGGGGTAGAGGGGGCGCTTGCCGAGGCCTGTCTCCACCAGCCTGTCCCATCCACATCCGCCCCTCCCTGCAGGGGCCACACGGGCGGCATCCACCTCCTCTGCCGACTCCACCTGCAGATCTGCACGCCTCCTTCCCGGCCAGCATTCTTGGCCTCCCTGGAAACAGCCTGCCACCTCAGGGGGCAGAGCCTTGCCTTGAACTTCTGTGTTCCTGGGACATTTCTTGTTTCTAGTACCAGATATTAAGCTCATTGGGGACCAGGATTCTGATGGGGACCTGCACAGTACCTAGTCCACAACCAGGCACTCAGTTTGTAGCCAGTATTGACTTGTAGTTGTTCCTTTGGTCACCATTAGTTCTGAATAAATGGCATCTTTAACCAAAATCACTCATTAACTCAGACTTGGTGACTCATCAGTGGCTCCCAATGTCACAGGATACAAGGGCCTAAAGTCCTCTGAAACCCCTGACCCCAGGCCTGTCTTTGTAAATATGGGTCTATCAAGGCCCAAAGAAGGGAAGGCCCTGATCAAAGATGAGACAGAAGGTCAGTGACACGACCTCAGAGGATGTCCCTAAAATGCCAGCAGCACATGAGGCCACCTCCTCCATCTGACCTCATTCCCATCTTGGTGAATGCAATGGCAGTCCTCAGAGACCTCAGTCTTTATATACATTTGTGTCCCTTTGTCCCTCCTCAGCTCCCCCCTGAGCCGCAGTCTCTTTACACAAGGAAACTACGGGCACCAGGGACAAACTCACCTTGGACAGTTTCAGGGGTTCTTGCTCACTGATGCCGGACAGGTCGGCCGCGTTACTGAAGACCTTGGTGATGCCCAGTTTGCCCAGGACAGTTGCCAGGTCGTAGGTTCCAGAAATGGACAGTTTGGGCAACTGTAAATTGGCAGACCTGTCACAGGGTTAGAAGACAAAGGAGTTTGGTGGCATTGAAAGGGCTTCCTTTTCTGCTCACTTCCCCCACACGGTGCCCTGTCTCTCTGCCCGCGGGAGGCTGGAGGTCAGTGTTGGTTTATTCTATTTGTGGGTTCTCTGCACCTGTGTCAGAGACTGTTAGAATGATCAGGATCCTCTTGTCCTGCAGAGCCTCTCAAATGCCGCCTCCTCTGAGAAGCCCTCCAGAAAGACGCAGGGTATCCTCTGGAAGAACTTTGTGCACTTCCCTTCAGGGTGTGGTCACCCCCAGACTGGGACTTTCCTGGGGCTGGACTCCCAGGGGAATGTGGGGCGTGGTGTCAGGTTCTGAGCGATATCATCCATGAATGATCAGTGCCCGCCTGGGAGTGGTTGTTCAGCCATTGTCTTCCATGGGGACAAGGGCCCGGCATGCGTGAGCTGACCGGCTCTCAGGCTCTGCTGACCGGTTCTAGATCCTGCCCCTCCTTGTTCTCGTTCCTCGGCACGGGAGGGGGCCGGGTGACGAAGAGGCGTTAGTCCTTCTCTTTTCATTGTGGCCTCATGCTGTCTTGTATTTTTCTGTTCCTTCGTCCAGACATGTTTATTATGTATTCTTTTATACGTTACTTATTTTTGTTTATTTTAAATTTTGATTTATTTGATTACTAATGTATGTTCATGTTGCACGTATTTAATGTTTACGTGTATTTTATGATGTACACGATAAAATATTCCTGAGGACATGGCCGTTGATGAATGCAGAGATGTGTACTAATTTGGGGTGCATGCTCGAGTATTCCTTCACTCCGAGGGACCCAATCACACCACACCGGATCTAGTGACAGAGGGCCTGGCCCCGTCCTCACACTCCCGCTGGGGTTTCCCACTCGGGGCCTCTGCTTTTCCGGCCCCTCCCGGCAGCTTCCCCCCCGTTTAGCCGTGGACTTTGTCTTTTTACACTACGCTCAGCTGCTGCCTTCGCCAGGAGCCCCGCCGCTTCCCTCTTGGTTCTCCGAAGTGTGTGTTGGTGTTGCTATCCCTGCACCCAGTGCTGGCACCAGGAGGGGGCAGCGTCCATGCTGGGGAGGAAGTCCCCAAGGACAGGACTTGTGCCTCCTCAGCCGTGGGCACTGTCCCTCTCACGGAGCGCGGCTGGTGCTACCTGAATTGCCGCCGGCCTCGGTCTGGAAGCACAAGGTCATGCACATTTGCTTGGTCCACTGTCCCTCCCCCTCTGGCCGGGCTTGGTGGCTTGGGCGGTCACCTTACGTATCTCTTTTCCAGGAACTTGGAGAGGACTTGCTTGGTGAGCAAGTCCTCCGCATGCTGCAGTTTCCCCTCGTCGGGCAGGAGGAACACGGCGGTGGCGTTGCCCACGTAGTCCATGAGGAGCACCCAGCTGGAGAGCGTGTCGCAGCGGTGCAGGTCAAACATGCCCAGGCGGTTCATCATGGGCACCTTGACGGTGGTGTCCTGGTCCACGTGGAAGTCCTCCTCGGTGGTCTGCTTAACCTCAAAGGGCTTCTCCCATTTGCCTGGAGGGAGGTAAAGGTGCACATCAGCCGGGATGGGAAAGGTCTGGGTGCGTGTGGACAGTAAAGGAGCCCCGAGCCTCCTCGATGAGATGCTTCTCACTGAGCCTCAGCGTCCCCATCTGTAAACTGACACTACAGCGAACATCAGGCCACTGAAAGGACTTTTGTGAGGATGACGCAAGACTAGAGTAGCGTCCAGATTTTCTCCATCTCAGAGGCCGCGGGGTGCCATCTGGGCTGGGCAGAGTAAGCATTTTAACTTGTGTTTCATGGTTATTTAATTGAGGGTTGCTTGGAAGGTTCTAAGTGAAAATTATTGGCATCAGCCATACATGGCACCCCCTGTCCGAGTCCCCCTTCCCCTTGTTAATTGGCGGTTCTCATCATTCAGGGAAATCACTCTTGTTCTTAATCTAGTGCCCTTTTCCTGGACCAGCATGTGAGATGTGGATGCCTGGGCAGCTCCCCTCTGCTATACCGAGAGAACGTCACCACCCTGCAAGTCAGAGTAGACAGGAGCCTCGGGGACGCCTGAGCCCAAGTTTCTCATGAGGTGGGAGATGGAGACTGAGGCTGGAGAGGGGAAGAGACCCGCCTAAAGCCTCACAGCAGAGCTGGGACCCACGATGTGCTGACTGTGGCCTTGGCGCTCTTTGTTGCACTCAGACCGAGGAGCGCCTGGCCTTGACTCTCACCTCCGCTGCCCCAGCCTGCTTCCGCGGGCTGTTCACACTGTGCGAGAATCCCTTCCGGGGCCCGCGGGCTCCTCACTGTTTCATTCCTCAGAGGGAGGAAGGCAGGCTGAGGGTCAAGTTTAGTTGAGCACCTACTTTGTGAGCATACGGTCCCATGTTCTTTGTAACATGTTTATTCCTTACAGAAACCTGACGACAAGGGAATTATTACGTCCGTGTTTCAGAGAGGAAACTAAGAACCTCAAAGAAGTAAAATGACTTGCTAATAAGTGGTAGAGGCAGGATTCGAGTCCTGATCGTTCTGACTGCAAATCTGTCACTCTTACTACACTGGTGCTGTTTAGAGTATGTTTCAAGAAACTCTGTTCCCTTCGTACACTCTGCTAAAGTTTGTTTTTCTGGCTCTCTGTTTGGGGAGACATTGCATTTTTTACCTCCGTCCATGCAGCGCACGTGAGAATGTGTGCAAAAGGCTCTGAAAAGTCCTGCAGGGAATGCGACGCTTTGACTGTTTTACGTTGCTCCTTAACCTTATTTCATCATGGAAAGATTTTTAGTTACATGAAGAAAACCGAATGACACATGCAGAGATGCATAGCCATATCGCATCCTGCAGTGCCGAGGAAAGTTGAAGAACTGAGTGTTTGAGAACACTCTTGGATATTTTCATGGGAATAAGATTAGGCTGGGTATGCAACCTTACCTTTAAAAAAGATGAAATTCACCAGAGCAAAAACTGTGTCTTCGTTAAGGTCTTTTACCAGATCCGTAATTTTTCCTTGGGTTCCCTTCTCTACATAATCGTTGATCTGTTTCTTGGCCGCTTCGGAGTCCTTGAAGTTGACGCTGAAGGCTTCTGAGTGGTACAGCTTCTTGACGTCCTCCAAGAACTTACTGACTAGCTTCGCATTCTCATCGATGAACAAGCCGTTGCCAGTGGTCAGCTGCAGCTGGTTATCTGGCCGGTTGAGGGCGTCAAGGAGATGATGGAAGCCTTTGTGGATATCGGCCTCTGCTCTCTCAGTGAGGTTGAAATCTAGACCCTCCAGGATCTGGGTGTGCGTGTCACCCTTGGTCCCCAGGGAGAGTGTCGCAAAGGCTGTGGCGATGCTCACTGGGGAGAAGAAGATGTTGCTGGTGTTGGACTGATGGGCCACCTGGCGGTACAGGCTGAAAGCGAAGTCCACAAGGTTCGGGGCAATCTTGTAGATGGCTCCCTTCTGGTCGTGCTCGTCTGTCTCCTGGACAGCAACTCCCTGCAGACCCTCAGCCAGGGAGCCAAGGACCAGGCAGCCTGCCAGCAGGAGGAGGCGCCACGTGATGGAGGACGGCATTATCCTGCAAGAGCAAGAGGGGGCACAACGCCCAGGTCAGGCCACAGGATGCGTCCCTCTGGCCTCCGATCACACCATGTAATGCAGCCAGTGTTTCCCGAGCATCTTCTATGTGCCCAGCACTTTCCTACGTCATCATCATTGAAAGACTCACACCAGAATCACACACCTAGATACGCTGGTTCCAGAGTCCACGCCCTCGATGGCACCACTAAAGTCTGCAATGACCTTGAAGTGCAGGTGCCAAAGCCCCTATTTACAAAGGGGAACCCGAGGCATGGGAAGCGTAAGGCGCATGCACACAGTTATCCAGGGAGCGGCCAGATCAGGCTCAGTGATGGCTGGATCTGGAACAGCCCTGGGGGGCTGCCATGGAACCCTGTTGTTTAATGGACAGAGGGGCTGCTACTCAGAAGGAGAAGGATCTTTCCCAGGAACACACAGCCAGCACACAGCAGAGCTTTGGAGAAACTCAGCAGGGGTCTGTGCCCATTCACCGCACCCGGAGCCTCAACCCTTAGTAGTTTTTCTTGGGCTGCAGGGCTGCCCTCACAATGAGTCTGCAGTCTTGGCTACATCAATGGGCTGTGGGCCCTGCAGTCAGCTTAGCTGCTCATCCTGGTCACCACCTGTGCTTCAGCTCTGGGCTCAGCAGTGACATGGGTGTTAGAGATGCTGGTCTCTCTCGTGTAGTGAGGGTGTGTATGTGGGAGGTAGCAGTTGCAAAACACATCTCTTTTCTCTTTAGACCAACCTGGGTTCTAGGTACAAGTCACTTAGTCTCAGGCCCTCGTTTTGCCTCATAGAGAAAATGAGGTTGTTGAGGGAATTTAGTAGAGTAAGTATAGACACCACATCTTACCCTCAGGGGATCTGAGAGCACGGCTCCATGAGGGAGAGGCCAGTAGGGGTTTCAAACTAGAAGCCTACAGAGGACAGGCAGGGTGGGAGATGAGTTCCATGGCTGGGGGAGACTAGGGAGCGGTGAGGCCTGTGGCTGAACCAGCCAGAGCAGCTTCTGACTAGTGAAGGTCAAAGTTAGTGTCCCCCACAGCAACATGGAGCCCGCCCTGCCCCACAGGGCTCTCTCTACTCCACATTTGCCCCAGCACCAGTCTGCAGCACCCCAAGTCCAACCTGCTCCTTCCATAGATGGGGAAACTGAGGTCTGAGCACAGGCGAATGTGCTTGCGACCACATAGCTAGCTATGACTCACAGAACTAAAGTCATCGTTTTAATAAAATACAAAGACAAAGGAGTCCTTGAATTTGGAATAGAAAAACCTCAGGGGAAAAAGTTGGAAATAAGAAATAACTGGTTTCATCTACCCCCTCAGACTTTTAAAAGTTTTTTTTCCAGTAAAAAAACAAAATGAATCACAAAACTGGTCTCTCTCTCGCCAACCACCTTTTCTCTGGCCTTCATGCCTCCAAATAATCCAAACAGAGCAGATCACACGTTCCATAAGACGTATTTATATTTTTCTTGAACTAGCCTGCGGTTGAGAGCTGAGGACGGTGCTAAAATTAGTTCTGTATCTTTCCATCTCCCTCGAGTTTCTTGTAACCTCCCCACTGGAGTTCGGTGCAGTCGCTCAGGGTTGATGGAAATTCCCCATCTTTGCAGGGCTCAGAGACCATGGGATCTGGGCCTCGGTGGAGTGGGACACTAAATACACCGAGTGGCCTCAGGACCAGAGGCTGTGGCTTCTCGCCCTGACAGGGCCACTGCTGTCCACTTGGCCTCAAGCAAGCGTCTTGTCCTGGGGCCTTGCTCCCCCCACCTGATGGACTAAGGTGGGAGGAGACCTAAATGAGGTCCCTGGGCATTAATGTCGGATCCTTAATTAGGGGGGTGTCTGGGTTTCCTGGAGCAAAACGGACTGAGACTTCCCATGGGGAGAGATGGGTGTGGTGCCCTCCCCCTTAAGGTGGCAAGGCCCACGGGGGCTGAGTGGAGAGGGGCCCCCGGTCTATCTTCCTGGGTGTTACATCACCCGCTCTGGCTTCCTCCTTTCACAGTAAGAGATGCGAGGCCCCGAGCCGGTCACGGCCTTGCCAAGGCCACACAGCGAGTCAGTGACAAAGCAGGAACAAGCCTTGGTTTTCTCATCACTGGAACCACAGACCGAGACGGCCGTGTCCTCAGGTCTCAGACTCTGTGAATGTCAGAACCGGGTCCCGGGGGACCCTGACATTGGCTTTGAGCCTCCTGTTGGCTTCGTTTTGTGTCCCAGTCTGTTCCTTACCACTTTAGGGGCCCGAGACTTCTGCTCTCTCCTTCTATGAAAGGCAGCACTCCGCACCCCCGAAAGCCCAGAACTAGGGAAACTAGCCCCAGATGAGAAAATAGATATGAGGCACCCAGAGGTATATGGACCAAGATTTAAAGCAAAAAGGACGAAGATGTCATGGGGACATTCCCGGAGTCCGGGTCGGGTAGGAGCAGGCTTGGCCAGGGAGGAGAGAGCGAAGGAAGCCATGCCTGTTGCCTAATCTCACATCATTTCCACCCAGGAGCATGAACTGAGTGACCGAGAGTGACTCAGCAGGGTCTAGGGAAGCAACTGTGCCGTCAGATCACAACCTGCTGAAACTTGGCATTAAATAAGCCCAGGTGTGACCCAGCCCTGCTACTTATGGGCGAGTGGCCTTGGGCAAGTGACTTCACTTCTTTGAGCCTCAGCTTCCTGTCTGTAAAGTGGAGAAAAGAATGTCTCACAGGGCAGAGGTGAGGGACAAACAAGGTGATGGGTGGGCGGGCGCCTGCCAGATGGGGAGGCCTTCCCTCCCTGTAGGTGCACACAGGTAGGGGTCGCGCTTGAGAACGGGCAGATTTCCTCCTGGCCAGTTGCCACATTGCCCAGGACCAGGGAAGGGGCCCCCTCCTGCTCAGCAATGAACCACCTTTGAGTTTGGAAAAATTTTAATTCAATTCTCCAATTATTTATTTTTTGCCTATTAGCCGCCAAACCCTCTGCTCAGCAAACAGCATCACTGTCGTCATCGTCACTCATAGTGAACATCAGATGTTTTATATGCAGCGTTTCATCTGATCTTCCCTCAAAGCTTACCCTTCAAGGTGGGAATTATTATTATTAGCCCCGTTTTATAGATGGAGAAATCGAGGCCTACAGAGGTTAAGTAAGTTACTGAGAACCACAGAGCTACTTGCTTATGGGGCTGGGATTGAACCCTGGGCATTTCAGTTCCAGAGCCTGGCATTTAATCTTTCGCTGTGTAGGAAATTGAAGCCAGAGGCCTTGTAGCAGAGAATCTCAGAGATGAATGGGGCAGCGTCACACTGTGGCTAAGATCCGAGGCTCTGAGCCCAGAATGCCTGAGTTCCATTCGCTATCAGCTCTGTGACCTCGGGCAAGTGACTTCACCAATCTGAACCTCAGTTTTCTGGAAATGATAGGGTGTACTCCCTCACAGAGCTCTTGTGCAAATTAAATATGTGCACGGTGCCAAGAAATGCCTGGCACCCTGCTCTCGGAAGCATCTGTTCTCAGAGCGCTACACGGAAGTCTCGTCACCCTGAGCTTGGTCATCTTCGTAGCCCCATCTCCAAAACCCAGTGACAGAGGAGTCATACCCTTCCAACACTCCGGAGACCAAGGCCGGTAAGGGTAGGGTGAGGAGAAGGAGGGCAAAGGTTATCTACATTTTGTCCAAGAGGAGAGAGAGGTTGAGTAACCGTTCATGGTCACCCAGCATCAGTGAGGCCCACAGCCAGCCCAGCCTTCCCAGTCCCGACTGGCACCTAAGACCTGAGAGGATTAATGTCGACAGTAAGAACGGGATCAGGAGCGTGGGTTCTGGAGCCAGGTGGCCCGAGTTTGAATCCTGGGTGGTGTGTAATTTGGGGCAAGCTGTGAACTTCTCTGTCCTCAATTTCCTCACCTACGAAAGGAGAATCACCATGGTAACTACCTCAGAAGATGCTGGGAGGCTTAAATGCGGGACTGCACGTAAGGAGCTTGGAAGGTGCCCGGCCAGAGCGAGGGCTCAGGAACATAGCTTGAACCCCAGTGATGGTGCCCCTCCCAGGGGTTCCCATCTTAAACTGCGCATGAGGGCGCCCTGAAGCCCACTGTGCTCAGGGAGGCCCATCGTGATGCCTCCAGCTGAGCATATCACCCAATGAGCAGCTGGAACTCTGGGCTTCTAATCTCCGCTGGCTTCCCCACCAGGTCCCTACATGAGCCTGGGCTTCCCGCTGTCCCTTTTTGGGCCTTAATTTCCTCATCTGTAGAAGAGGGTAAGTCACACACCCAAACAGCCGGGGGTGAGGGGGTGAGGGGGTGAGGCCTGCAGGAGGCAACTGGCAGGAAAGACGCAGGAGCTGTGCCAACAGAAACGTGCTCCTTCCTGGGTCCCTGGACTCCGTAGCCAGATACTTACTTTCACTTCTGCTCATAGTAGGCCAGTTTATCCACCAGTAGATACTGGGGAGGCCCTGGGATGCTGTTACTATGACAACAGGAGGCCCACCCCGCTCCATTGTCCCTGCCTCTTCGGGGGGCGGCCTGGGCAGTGCAGGGACCCGGAGGCCCCGCTGGGGGCCCTCTCCACTGGAAGGCATACTTACGGTTCACTGTTCTAGGCCGGGGCTGGTGACCAAGGCTGAGGAGACAGAGCCCTGTTCTCGTCCGTATTTAAGCAGTGGACCCAGGGGAGTGACGGGGGAGGCTGCCGGTGAATATTAACCAAGGTCAACCCAGTTATCAGAGGAGCAAACAGAGACCAGGTCCTTCCACCAACACCGAGCCGCCCGCCCACGCTGCCTGTCTGTGCTCTGCCCGGACAGTGGGGCCCTCTGCTCTGTACACCAAAGGGAGTCATTGTACCCAGCTCGTAAACCACAGCATCCAAAGTGGGGGTGGCATGACTCAGGCGCTGCGGGACAACATTACTGGCTGGGCCCTGCACGCCCTCTGGGGAGTTCTCAGTGGCCGCCTTGTTGGTAGTGAGAGCTCCCATTTACTGAGCCACCTCGAAATGCCTGCCGCTGCTGAAGATGCACCGCGGAACTGGGGGGTGGGGAGGGGCTGCAGTAGGTTACGTGCCCACTTGGCAGACAGGGAAACTGAGGCCTATAGCAGAGAGGCTGCTCATTCAAAGTCACCAAGCCAGCCTCATACAAAAGCTCTGTCAGCTTCCCCGAGGAGAAGGTAGAGCATGACCGATGGGGACAGACGCTTTAGCTGACATAGGTGGCCACGGGCGCAGATCAGAGAGTAAAGCTGGAGAGAAGAGTTGTGCACGCAGCTTCACCTGTCTAACCCGGGGGGTGTTTTCACCTGTGCCACTGGGGTTCGGATGTCCCGCCCCCTAGCGTAGTTGTCGGGGACACACGAAATGACTTCTGTAGAATGCCTACGCACAGTAGGTTCTTTACTGTGGCCTGCATAGCCCTCTGGAAGCCCTGATCTTCAGGCTTCTCTGGGCGAGAGGAGGCCCAGTTCCCAGCCAGCCTCAGACCTGTTTCTGTTTCCACCGCGTGTGCTCCTGGCAGATGGCTTTGATCCACGCACTGCTGGAATTTCCCTCGGGAACGTGGCCCCGTTCTGGGGCTATTGCAGGCCCTTCGGGGCACAGGTGGAGGCTGAGGGCGGCAGTGCAGGGTGAGGCCTGTAGGCCCCCATTTGGCAGACCACGGCACACTCTAAAAACGCCCTCACCCCCAGCCCCGTGCCCACTTAGAACGCAGTATGCTCCATGGCGATTTGCTGAATGAGTGGATGGACGAATCCATTTTTGTCCCTGCTCTCGTGCCCCAGTCCTAGTTGTGGGACTCTGCCTGGCGAATGACCGACAGGTTCCTCTAGCACACAGGCTCAGGCCAGGGAAGCGGTGTCCCAGGCAAGCTGTTTAAGCCCCGTGTCACCGAGAGGTGACAGAGCCCACCTCTCGGGCAGCAGTGAGGATTAAACTCAGCAGTTCAGGGTGCATGCAGAGCACACCGTGAGCCCTTTATGATGTTGTCCGCCCCACCCCGCAGGGCGGGGAGGGGGGAGGTCCCCCAGGTGGGAGTGGGGAGAGGGGAGCCCTCCCTCCTGACTCCCCAGCTCCACAGTCTGGCTTCAGGGCCCCGACTCTTCCCCTGGAGCTGGCTGAACAGGCATCTCCCCAGGGCCTCACAGCTTGGAGAGCTAGGCCGTGACTGAGGTGAGGCTGCCCTCCACGCTTCCTGGGCATTTCTTCCTCTCTTCGTGCCTCAGTTTCCCCATCTTTATAATGGCCTTTCTCCAAGCTCCGCTGCCCCTCCCACCTCTCGCGCTGGATGGACAGCGGCAAGGGCCCCACCTTCCCAGCTTTGGCCAAGGTCAGCTCCCGAAGCCCGGTGGCCTGGGGACTAGTACGAGGGCATTGCCCCCTCTACCTCCAGTTCCTGGTGCTGTGGTGGTGGCCGCGCCTCCCGTGGTGATGGGCCCTCCTCTTCCTCTTCCTCTGGGTTCTGGGTTGCTGAGCACTACAGCACGCAGGCCATATGTGCCCTGAGCACAGTGCCCAGGCTCTGCCCGCCCGGGAGGAGGAAGGCTCTAGGTGGCTGGTGGAGGAAGCTGGTCTGGGTGGGGCAGGGAGCTGGGGCAGGAAGCCACATTGCACAAAGCTGCCAATAGCTAGGAGGACGTCGAGTAGCCTTTTCTGGCCCAGGCAGTCCTACGCGTCGCCTGCTATTCCTGCCATATCCGGCCTGTGTGACCCAGGACGAGTCGCCCAATTTCTCTGTAAGAGAGACAGTGGCAATAGCTCAAAAGATTCCTGGAAATGACAAACATCACTCTTCTGGCCTGGCACTAGCATCTTGGCAGGTTTCCAGGCCCAGTTAGAGAAGGAAGAGGACTGAGCCACCTCTGAAGCACCCAGAGGGAACCTCTTGGAGGCTGAGAAGGGTCTATGCATGTCCCAGACCCTGGCTGGGTGCAGAAGGGATGCAAGCCATCACGCGGGGTCTGGGACATTGGAGGAGGCATGGAGTCGGAGACCGTGAGAGGCTCAGGGTTGAGGGCCCGTCCCTTCTGAGTCAGGGGCTCCATGCTCCGTCCTTTCTCACCCCATCCTCACACTCCCCACTCCCCACGTCCCCCGCCCCACTCCCGTAGCATTCATACTGCAGAGAGGTCCCTGGACACACATCCTGGGAAGAAAGTGGTGGGACGATCTGGGAAAACGAGCAAGGACTGAATCCCCGGGGTGAGGGGCACCCAGTGGCCACTCTTGCAGGCGCTGTATCCCATGAACCACAAGGCACGGTGGGGAGAGTCTTGTCTACTTGGTTAGTTCTGAAATTGTCAATTTTAGCATCCGGGCTGATTCCCTGGGAGTGGATGCATCATAGGAAGAGCCCGTGAGCTGGCTGTAGATCAGCAGGGGAGACCTTACCCTCCCACAGGCCCTGCCTAGAGATGGGAGCGGGATGGAGGGGAGCGTGACACCCGAGGTAGGGGATCTGCAACAGGCAGGGAGGGAAGGGGTGTGTGAGGGGCCCTGGACCAAGGAGATCAAGGCCCAGAGGCCCAGACTGGTCAGCAGAGCACTGGTGAACTTCAGGGGTGCCGCAGCCATTGGCAGAGTCCCCAGGGAGCGTTGGAACAGGCCTGTCCCGTGCACACGCACAGACAAGCCGCGTGCGCTTCCTCTCCCAGCTCTCCCCGCGCTTACTGTGGGGTCTCCCTTCTTCGGGGTGCAGAGTGGGTCAGGCCTGGGCCTGGGGGCTAAACACCGAGTTCAGCTCTTAACTCCACCGCTCTTTTCGTGAGCCCTTAGCCACTTTGCCTCTCGGAGCCTCGGTTTCCTCATCCGTGAGATGGGGAATAAGCACGGTCAGTTCTCCCAGGATTGTGCAGTCAAAGAGACGACGACGTGCAAGACTGGGGTGGCTTCAGGCAGAGACGGGCCCCGTGTCAATGCCGACCACCGGATGCTCTTCGGGGGACGTGTCCTGGGCCCAGGAAGCCTTTCACATGGGTGCCAGGGGCCTGAGTAGGGGGAAGGTTTGGGGAGCAGCGTTGTTTGTCCTGGGACAAAGAGCTCACTTTGCTTCCTGAAGGCACAGGGTCAGGTGCAATTAGCATCCTCCTGAGCACCTGTGAGGTGTGGAGGGCAGAGTCGGACGTGGGGTGGTCGGAGCCGGGCCGACCTGGACTCGAGGGGGGACTTCATTTCACCTCTCTGAGCCTCAGTTTCCTCATCTATAAAATGGGGGTGCTATGAGTCTCCCAGACTTGTTACGAGGTGATGCTCGTGAAATCTTTAACACCAGCTTACGCTGTTAGCATAACCGGCCCTGCCTTCTCATGACGCAGTGGTCAGACGTTCTAGGTTTTCTCTTCCAGGAGGTGAATTGAATTTGCACCGCGAATTTGTCTCCTTTTGGCATCTTGTGAATTTACCGACTTGCGACTCCCAGGGGGGCGGGGGGGACTCTCTTTCCTTCCTCTTTCTCCGGCCCCACTTCCTATGTGTGGTTCGACTCTTGCTTTTTCTGGAAATATTTGGCTAATTCACAGCTGCTTGTTTTCACTCCTCATCCTTACTCAGAGAGAGAAAAAGAAGGCAAATCTAGGCATTGTAAGCAACAACACAGTTAACGAGAGGAATAAAACACACATCTCCAGCTTCATCCCCTACTTGTTAAAATTAAAAAAAAAAAACACTAATGTTTTTATTATAAAGCTAACCTTTTCCATACTTTAACTTTACCCTTTTGAATTTGAGGGCCATTTTGGCCATTATAGACTGTCAGCTTTTAGGATACTCGGCTTGTCCTGGTTAACTACTTTCGATATTTCCTTTCGGATGGCCAGATTGTCAGTTTGACCAATAGGAGCGCCTTTAAATTACCTGTCTCTCTTCGCCTTTCAGCAAAATTTCACAAAGCACACGCTTGTTTTCTAGCAATGAGAGATGTCCCAGGCCCATCTTCATTTTCTCCTGCCTCAAGACATGGCGTCGGCGACCCTCTGGGGGGCTGCAGGAGACGCCCGAGGACTTTGGGACTTGTTTTGCAGAAATCGAGTCCCTGCGTGGGCGGCTCAGATAACAGAGAGCAAGAGGGCTCTTCAGACTTGCCCAACTCGGACCTTGGGTTGAAATAGTTCGATTCACCTTGTTGTCGTCTTTCATGTTGACTTTGAGCGTTTCTGTTTGCTTGGTTTGAACGTGTCTCTCACTGCTTTCATTTTGCAATACGAATCCGCAAACTGACGCCACGGTGTGGCTTTTCTCCAGCACGTACTGTGTGCCAGGCTCTGTTTCAGTGCCGTGCAATGGGTGCCATTAACACCCCCTTAGTGCCGATGAGGTAACTGAGGCACGGAGCGTCACCGTGATGCTGGCGATGGAGGCCCATCTGGCCTGCTGCCCAGTGTGTTTGTGTGGCCGGCAAGCCATGCATGGTTTCTACGTTTTCAAGGGGTTGAGAAAAAAAATCAAAAGAAACATAATATTTTGTGACACAAGAAAATGATGTGAAATTCAGTTTTCAGTGTCCACATGTAAGGTTTTATGGGAGCATAGCCATGCCCATTCATTTATTGTCCGTGGCTGCTTTCCTACTATGGTAGCGGAGTCGAGAGGTTGCAACAGGAACCGTGTGACCCGCAAAGCTGAAAATATTGACTATTTGGCCTTTCCAGAACACGGTTGCCGATGCCTGCCCAGCTGTCTGTTGCATCTTTGCCTCCTGGGCTGCCAGCTTTTGTGAAGGTTTCTCTTTGTCCCGAAATGGAAGCAGCTTTCCCTTCCTCTTTGCACGGCTGACTCAGTGTGTTCCCCCACGTCCGGGCCCAGGACGAATTCATCGGTAAGACTTCCTGATCCCCCACCCCACAGCCTGGCTTTGCTGGGTTAGGTCTCCCTCCTGCTGCTTCCACGGCACGTTGCACATGACCTTTTAGAAAGAACGCTTATCATGACAAGTGATAATTGCCGAGCACGTAGCACACGCCAGATGGCATTCTAAGCGTTTCGGAAAGATTAACTCTTCTCATCCTCACAATACACCTGTGACGCGGGTGCCTTTGTTACAGATAAAGAGACTGAGGATCATAGAGGACAAGCAACTAGCCCTAGGTCACGGGGCTGGTGAAGGCAGAAGAGAGATTCGATCCTGGCTGTGTGACTGCGGGACGAGACTCCAAACCCCAGAGCTCAGCTCTAACCCCAGACTGCAGTTACCTGAGGGCAGGGCCGAGTATTTTCATTTTTTCTGACTGGGCTGAGCACAAAACAGGTTCTCAGATGATCCTTGATGAGCTGAGTTAACAGGAATGAAGTAGAGTATAAGTGGAATATGTCTTTGATCAGATGATGATGGTGTCTCGCTAGGGTCAACCTGTGAAAACCTTTAGAATGTAAATAAAAAATTTGCCTGGGCGTGCGACCTCTTCGATTAACACACAAACAGTTGTTTTGTCTGTTTGAGCTGGAAGCCATCATATGAGGTTGCCCCTCGCAGCCACGACCTGGAGCCTGGCTCTCCTACTCGCCTGCCCGGATTCTCACCATTACCCAAAGCTGCTTCTGCCATCTGCCTGCTCAGTCAGCTCTGGACCGGTACATGGGAGGACCGCAGAGTGCGGGCCGAGGTGTCATGGCGAA